TTTTTTTTTTATTGTCAGCACGCTCATCCCCGGGTCTCTCTCTCTCTCTCTCTCTCTCTCTCTCTCTCAACTTTGAAAATTACTCCTTTGAAAAATTATCTAACCTTTTCACGGATTAAACGAACAGCAATCGAAGGAATCACGCGCGTGTATCGTCTGCGAATGTTCCGAAGAATCCGAGTTCAGAGGAAACGCGTTCCACTGAAACTAGATCAAGTGTACTGGATCCTTCCGGTGGCTCCGATTGTTTGAACGAAGGAAATTTGGTCGGAATGTTAAATAACGAAACCTCTCGACGAACTATATCAGGAAAATGGAATTCCTATGTTCTACTCTACACGAGAAACTTTTATTTTTCTATCGAGATTAACCCGCCCTCTTATAATATCTCGCCCGCGGCACAAGATCTTTTTAACTATTTCCTTTTTTATTAAGTTATTTAAAATTACTTTTCTTGATAAACTAAACTAAACTAAAGATCGATAAGTGCAAACTGTGCAAGGTCATTTACATGTAACTTGCACACCTGAAATAACTTTTCAATTATGAAAACGTCTAATGAAAAATTGTTCAATAAAAATTTGTTTATAGTTTTAAGGGAAGCAAAGTATAACGTATCAATTTTTTGTAAGTTTCGAAATTTCCAAGATCATCTTTATTTTTTCTTTAATTGGATCATATACTTTTTTTTCATCGCAAAACGGAAAAATATTAAATTCCAAGATAAAAAAGTATCAAGTCACATTTATCCTAAATGTGACCTAATGGTTAAGGAGATATTTTACGATAATTTGATTGTCAACGTCCATGGAACATTAATGTGTGGCAAGCAAATGATCCTAATACTCTGTGCAATTTTTATTCTTGAGACAAATTATACAAATAACGTTCGCTTATGCTTAGTTGAGGAGAGTGAAGGAAAAATTGCGAAGTAAGGAGTTAAATACAATTTTCTCATTCGGACATGTTTGTAGTTTTAAAACTAAACGTACCGGCACTTTATTATATATAGCTATTATAATCGGTTAGGTCTTTTTACGAAAAGAATCCAGGTAATTGTCGATTTAATACGGAAAACAATACATAAAAATAATTTTCGGATAGTACGAAAAAAGATTAGATTTTTTCAGAATTTTAAATCAAATTTTTAAACCGGTCGTTTGACATTGATAGACGTTTAGTGTTAAATGATAATTTTTAACATTGGTAACATAGGAAAATTGGTAACTTTCAAATGTGAAAAAATATGTTCGCAAAGAAACAGCACTAAAAAGATTGTCTGATTTTCATAAGCAAACGGTATGAAAAAGAATGCTATGAAAAATGAAAAAGGACAGAAAATAGAACATTTAAAATTTCACTGCGGACTTTTATGCAATTTTGTATCATATTATCACGAACATAATTAGAGAATTGAAATTCAAACAGAATATTTTATTTATTCATAATTATCACGAGAGATATTCTAAATACATTGTATATATTAAACTCTATACTTTATTATATAAATTATATAAGTTAAATTCTTATATATTAAATTCTTACATATATATTCTTATATAATCTATATAAATTAAATTCTATATTTCAATATTTCATAAAAAACGAACTATAAGAGTTTCTTTCAAACGTTTGAAGAGTTAGACACATTTGAGAAGTTTTTGTATTATCATGAACATGTCCAGAGAATTGAAACCCAACCAGAATTTCACTTATTCAAAATCATCATCAAAGGTATTCTACTTTTGATACTCTAAATACATATATTATATATTCTATTAAATATTTTGTGAAAGACGAACAGTAAAAATCTATACGAATCCTCTCAAACGTTGCAACATTTGGAAAGTTGGTCCCGTTTGAAATATTACATAGAGAATTAAAACCCAAATAGAATATTTTTTTCATTTTTGTCATTTTATTCATAATTGTCACGAAAGGTATTCTACTTCGGATATATATTCGATATTCTAAATATTTGATGATGAAAGACACGAAAAACGAACAGCAAGGATTTATAAAAATTCTGTGAAACGTTGCAAAGTTTGAAAAGTTAGACACGTCTGGAAAGTTGGAACAACGCTCGTACGTTTATTACTCGGCTGGCTCGTACATACAATATATACTCGTATAAGTATCGCGCGGCGTGTCTCGTTGTTTCAACGCGAGTGAGTAGTCGAACACAACGGAGGAACAGGCTGGCGCTCACGCGGACCTGTTTTACGATCGGCTGTAATTGTCGTTTCAGTTCAAACAGTGAAGTAGGATAAAAGCGGTGGCGCGGTCGGACTGGAAGTTAACGATTCGAGAGCGAAAAGGCAAAGTTGAAGAACCTGAAGCGGCCAGGATAAATATAGATAAAACACCTTTGGAAATCGAGGGAACGGGGCAACACGGGCGGAAGGGAAGGAAAGAGATAACGTGCCATGGCCCGGGCCACGAAAGACGCCTATGCTACGCCCGGAATAATATTTAAACAGCGCGGAAAACGAAACGGACGCTGATCCAACAGGAAATGCAAATCGTTTTATCGGGAATTCCTTCTCGTCTCTTTGTATCTCCGCCAGTCAACGGAGATTAAACGCTAACTCCGCCGGCTAATCGTTATTTAACGCTTAACATTCTCTTCCACTCAATCTTCCGTTTTCTTTTCTCCGTGTTCTACCTCCGTTACCTCTGCTACCCGCGTCTCGCTATCTTATTTGTCCGTCTGTTTCTCACCTATTTATCTATTTATCTACTTTCCGCAGAGATCTCGTGCGGATCCAACGAGATCCAACGAATGAAAGGAGAAAATGGCGTCTCTCGCTTCTAAGACAGCCTCGCTGCAAGTTCCCTGAAGTTACACCCAAGTTTGTAAAAGTCTGATAACTGAACGATAATATCCAGAAATCTTCCACGAG